CAAGAGATCATGCTCCCAAGTCACTCCACCCTAATGCCAACAAGTGGCACCATGAGAATGTGATACTTGTCATATTTTTCAAAAATTACAAGAATGTCCTTTTTCAAAATATCTTCCAAATTAAATTACAAAAAGGTCCTTAAAACGAAAAATAATTACTTTCCATAATTACACTAAAATCCCAAAAATCATGATTAATTACAATAAAATATATATCCATACCCTTTATGAAAAAGTAAGCAACTAGCATGCTTTTCTACAAAAGTAAAAATACCAATATCATGGAAATCAAATATCATCAATGCATGCAAAACCGAAATCAAATCCTAGCACAACAAGTGAGGTTATGCATGGAAAAATGATAAACGGGAAAAGGACGAAATAAGGAAAAGACAAAATAGGAAAAAGACGAAAAAAGAAAATCGCCGAAAAAGGAAAAAGAGGAAAAACACCGAGTCATTACATAAACTAAGATGCAAGGAAATTAAAATGCAATTAAAATAAACTAAGTTGAGTTAGGGATTTAAAAGATGAGAAGTGAGGTTTTAGGGTGCATTGGAATCGCCACCAAGTTCGTTCACCAAGTCACACACTTTAAACTAATTTTAGGAAAACCTTCTTGTGAACAAAATGCGACTACCAATTGCAATATTAAGCATGGACCATTAAATTAAAGAATAAATTATCTACCTAGCCAACAAATAAACTAAGTGTAGCATAACCCATTAATTCTAAGCATGACTCATCAAACTAGTCATAATTGTAGCACACATCAATCTAGAGAATCATGAAATTTGCAATAATAAGTCATGGAATATCAAATCAAGTAAAGATAGTCTACCTACCTATAAGCATGAATTAAATTGTAGAACAACCTATCAAGTATAAGTATAATTCATCAAATTAATTGACAAACCCATCTAATAAAAATCATATCTAGCCATCACTAGATTCTCAATCAACCACACAGACATGCAATTAATGTCGAAAAACTAGTATAGAGAACAATTCCCAAATAATCACACGTTAAATTAAAGAATGAATTATCTACCTAGCCAACAAATAAACTAAGTGTAGCATAACCCATCAATTCTAAGCATGACTCATCAAAATAGTCACAATTGTAGCACACATCAATCTAGAGAATCATGGAATTTGCAATAATAAGTCATGGAATATCAAATCAAGTAAAGATAGTCTACCTACCTATAAGCATGAATTAAATTGTAGAACAACCTATCAAGTATAAGTATAATTCATCAAATTAATTGACAAACCCATCTAATAAAAATCATGTCTAGCCATCACTAGATTCTCAATCAACCACACAGACATGCAATTAATGTCGAAAAACTAGTGTAGAGAACAATTCCCAAATAATCACACATAAGACAATATGTAATCACATAGGGAATCAATAGAAAGAATTAATCCATAAAAATCAAAGAAGAACCTAAGATTCATTAAATTCATAAGGCTAAAACACTAATCACAAGATATTATTTCCCAAAAAGTATGAAAGAGATAGAGGTTTAGATTACAAACTTAGGGCTCATCCAATCCCCAAGGAGAAGTCTAGCCAATCATAGAGGAAGTGGGTGTGATCCTGAAACCCTCAAAGGCAATCCCCAAACATGGCTCCATCTTCTTCCTCTTCTTCTTTGTTGAATTCTAGAGAAAAAGAATGTGTAGATTTTGAGATGTGTTCTTCGTGCCTCAACTCTTCTCTTTTCTTCTAACCCTAATCTCTAACTTTTCTAGAGAGATAAACTAACTATTACAATCAAATAAAACTGAAGACAAAAGATATATTACAAAATGGTTCAATTCACTTTAAATACAAAGTCCTTGGAGTAAGGAACAAGTCAAAAAATAAGCCTTTAAAATATCTAATCCCACAGCTATATGGTAGGTAGAATTCAAGCGCGTGGGAATAAAATAGCTCGCTACCAATGTAATCTCGAACGATCGAAGAAATCTTCGATCGATAGAAAAATTCTCAATTGTTCCAAAATTTATTTTATTTTATTTATTTATTACTTTCCGGAACTTTATTGCTCGACTCCAAAAAGGTTGTAAGAAACCATTTTTAGCCCGTTTAAACTTTATTGACCAGAAATAGACAAAAACACAAATAAGTACTAAAACGGGAAAATAAAGATAGATGAATGGATTAAAATACCCTCACTTAGGTGCTAAACTGCGTCACATTTGAGCACTTATCAAATACCCTATAGGACCAACACGAGGGATTTTGGAGCCATCAAAAACACCTTATAAAAATAGTACCTAGACTCTAATTGTGAGCGCTCAGACTGTGTCCTCTAAGTGCTCGGAGGACACCCCAGCTCATCTTACGCGCACACTATGCATGTTGTGCAAATATCCCATGTCAGCCGAGCATTCGTGCCCTTGCTGCGAGCACCCGAATGTGCCCTGAAAATGGGCACCTTGCCCTTTTTTCACTCTGTTCATACTCCTGAACAACCTTTTTGGTCATTTTGACCTTAATATCCCTGTCCCGATTCACAAGCATGCATAAGGTACTAATTATGAAATCAGTAAAACAATTTATAGTCCAGGAAATATAAAATTATAACGAATTTCATTTACATGATCGTTATTACATTGAAAATGATCCAATTGAATGCAAGTTACAAACTTAGACCCTTTCGGTCAAATTTACAATGCTTTACAAAAATTTGCATCAACTACGTATTTGATACAAAAATAATTAAAAGTAAGCTTCCATCAATCTTAACTAAACATATGAGGGTTCATTATCAATCACGTCACCGTCATAACCTGAAAAATATTAATGGAAGGGATGAGCATGGAAGCTCAATAGGAGATGCCTAAGGCACCAACTTTGGAGTCCTCTTAAGCCACACATCGCACATATAGGATAAAAGAGAACAGGTGTAACAACAGGGGATTCGGATAGCTAGCTCGGTCGCAACCCGACCTAGGAGCACATAAGGGCAAAATGGTCATTAAGCACCTTACTATATTTTAGGAGTCATAATAATGGCATACCAAACGTTTATAATCAAACAGGGATATGAAAGGGTGAAAACCTCGACTTCGGGCTCACTTTAGAGCCCTGGGGTTGATAAGGGTAAAATGGTTCTTATATGTCAAAACTATGGAATGGAACTAATACCATTAAAAAATATGGCTCAAAAACATGGAAGTTTGACTCAAGAACGACCCTATTTGAGCTCAAAATGAAGAAGTTATGGACATTTAAAGATTGTATTAAAATACAAATAGAGATAGACCCCTTTGTGCTCCAGCACAACCATTTGTGCTCAAGCTCAACCTTATGCTCGAGCACAAATATCTATGCTCGAGCTCTAGGACTTGCAATGAAAAGTCCCAAGACCTATTCTCAGGATCCCACCAAAAACCACCCCAATGCTCGAGCACAAACATTTATGCTCAAGCTCAAGGACCCTAACACCCGAGCACAGACCCCTTGTGCTCGAGCATTCGCCACCCTGCAGAAATATGATTCTCGGTCAAGGCCCTGTACTCGAGCAAAAAACTTTATGCTCGAGCATTGGCCCTAAAAATTGGCCAAATGCTCCAACAAAGCTATGGTTTAGGTCAAGCAAGTTGCTTGGGCAATTAAATGCATTCTCATAGATCAAATTTGATCTGAAAAATGGTCATACACTTCAGTAAATGGATAAATGAAATCCATTCATCAACCTTAAACATCAACCAAACAATTATGAAATCAAATATGCTTCCTTGGCATTTAAATTGATAACATTTCTTCCTTACACTTCAATACACATTAAAAGTGGTCTAATTAAGTACAAGTTACAATCATAGACCCTTACGGTCAAATTTACAATAAATTACAAGAATTTACGTCATCCATGCATTTGATACAAAAATAATGAAAGTAAGCTTCCGCTAACCCTAGCTATGCTCAGGAGGATTCGTCATCAACCATGACTCCGTTATAACCTGAAAAATGTTAATGGAAGGAGTGAGTATGAAGGCTTAGTAGGAGATGCCTAAGGCACCAACTTTGGACTCCCTTCATCACACATACGGGATAAAAGGAAACCGAGATCATACTTGGGAATTTCACATAATTTAAACCACAATCCAATCCAATCCAATCAATGGCATAAATACAACTTTGCACACCATGAATGAAAATGCATACCCATTCCCATTTTTGGTCTCAACCGACCCAAACTTGGCCTCTACCGACCCTAAACTCACATTTGAAAACTGCTAACCAACTTTACCGAGGCGAGGTTAATTACTATCCTTAGTTCCAAATCCGACAACCATTTTGGGGCCTAATATCAACGTCTTCACGTCCTATACTGGACTGTGCTCCCTCTAGGTCAAGTTACCACCGAACTCGCGAAATCCAATTTACTTTGTAAAAATCCTTTTTGAGGCCTTTCTCATTCCCCTTTCCCGCTATGTCATGCACCTGCCTCAATTCCAACAATTTAACTTCAATTTCATTAGTATAGTAACAATGGTATAAACATGACATTTTATTTACTTTTCAATAAATTCTTAACATAGCATTTCTCACAAAACAACTATAAGCATGCTTAAAATAGATTTCACTTCATCATCATCATGCTAGCCTAGCATTCTAATAGCTTAGGAACATCATACTTCACACCTAGCACATAAGGAACATTAGGAACATCATGTTCCACACTTACCACATAAGACACATTAAATTACTCCGTATAAGCATACATTCAAATCTTCATCACCAATTTCCATAAAATCATATAATCACATAACTTGTATTTTTCATAGAATAAGTAAAGTAAAGTATCAAGAGAAAATTGCTCAACAAAAAGCAAAACTTGAAGCACTAGAAATCCCTACCTCAATTGTGTGCTGGCTAAACATGCCCTCAGTGTAACGACCTAGAAGGATACCAAAATAATAATAATAAAATATATAAAATTTCAACATAACCTCCATAGAAAAAGTCCCTCTACAACCTGTTAAAACACATAAAAATGCAATGGCCTCAATTAGCCTTAAAATTAATCTATCATGTCCCAACGCACAATACAAATATTATACCACATTCCTAAAATGATTACATACATATACAAAGTCCCGTTCCTCCATCTCATCCAAACAAGGAACACACTTTAGTTATATCAAGTTACAGTCCATAAAAAATAGCTAAAATTTAAAAGTTCATAACTTAAAACATTATACTAATTAAATTAAAGTTTCACAAAATAATTAAGATAACATTTACAAAAATATTAGAGCTCAAATACAAAAGATAGCAAAATAAAATAGGCCTCCAATCTCGTCTAAACTTGTGGTGGATCGTCATCTGCCACCTCTTTTACATGTCCTGAAAAATGTTAAAAATAATAAGGTGAGCATAAGCTCAGTAGGAAGCGTCTAAGACATACTTCTTATATCCCCGTGAATTCCACACAAAGAATGGGTAAAAAGGAATGGGATCATTCCATGAGAAATACATATTCTCAACCCCAACAACAAGTATGTAGCAAACGTCAACCAATCACAAATTTCCCACAATGTCATGAAATGCAGTGTTATACACATGTCACTCCTTATTTCCGAAACATTTTCGTTTCAAATTCCAAACCGTCAGTGTAATCTGACCCAAAGCACCTCCAAGGCGTCACGAATTGAGGGTTGACTAACTATTCACGACCACAAGGCACCTTCAAGGTGTCACATCCGGCCTAGTTAGCTTAATTATACTCTCTTCTAGACTACGCTAACAACACGGACCACTAGGCGCCTCCTAGTGTCCGATTTTCGCAAACACCTTTGAAAATATATTTCCAAAAACTATTTCATTTATTTTAAAATATTTTTTTTCATTTTTCTTTCCCTATGGATGCATGAATGCTTCATGCTTTCTTTCATAAATTCAATCATAAAGTTCCCACATGCTTTTTCAAATAAATTACTAAAATACACAACTCATGCTTTTATTTCACATATTTCAAGCAATTTAAGCATACAAATCACAAATTTATTTCACATAAGCATGCTTAAACACAATATAATCAATTAACACATTGTCACAATTTCATATATGGCATTCAAGAAATTTTCAAGAACTTTCACTAATTAAGCATGCAATTAAACAACTTATAAGAAATAAATTCATAGAAGTACAAGAAGACCATGAATTAGAGACCCCTACCTTGAATAAAGAATTTTCCTTACTGAATCATCAAGTCTCCAAGCTTTCGACCTTCTCTGCAACCCTCGTCTCCTCTCTATCTCTCCTCAATCTCGCACTCTCTGTCTCTCTCTAATTTTTCCATTCTGTTCTTTATATACATAGCAAAGTCATAAGCCCAATTTATATGCAAAACCACCGACTCACAACTGCTCACAAACTAAAACACTAAATCAAATATCACATAATCAATTGGCAGACCCCACCAATATCTTTCCTTACATCTTATCACCTGCCATATACAAACCATCAGCCACCAAAAGTAACAAAGCCACGTGAAGAAATATCGAAGTCAAGGCCAAAACAATTTTTTGGCCAAGTAAATCTTTAAGTGAGTCCCATAAAAAGTTTTTATCACAAAAAAATCAACTTTCTTTCTCTCACTAACCACTGTCAGCCAACCTGCCTTCTATCATCACATACATCAGCCACCTTCCACCATCTGACCACATAATATATATATATACATTACAATCTACCCTCCTTAAAAGATTTCGCCCTCGAAATCTACCCTCCTTAAAAATAGAGGACCATAATCATACACCTTCCCGAGAATACCTCACAATACCCCAAAACTATGAACTCACCAACATTATTGCCTTTGTCACCGGACGTCACACACCACTGCCGCAAAAACACAATGTTCACCACCCTATGAAGGTACTCATTACTCACAACATCAGAACATGAGAACAACTAGGCCTTACACCTGACTCAAAATAGACATCGGTCCACTCTACACTGCTACGCAATACTCCGAAGCCCGAAAGAAGAACAGTCACTAAACCACCGAATATAACAACACCCAATCACAACTCCTCCCTAAAAGGACACACAAAACCCCAGACAAAAAACCTTGTCCATCTCACAATTAAGCTCAACTCTAATCTACACATCCCCTTCAGACCGAACACTCATTACCTAACACTTAACTACACCATTACATACCCGTACAATGACTACCAACCACAGCAAGTGGCAAACACTAAACTTATCATCCTCAAGATGACTAAATGATGAATCTCCCAATCATTACATAATCATGAATCACCAGAATGATAAAACAAATTATCTTGTACCCAGGTCACAAATCCTCAAAACAAAATCTTCAATAATTACCAGACAACTGGTACTACCTAACACACTTCATCACCCAAAACAAATCATCCGAATCCACATTGTTACACTGACACAACGCGTAATACTGTGCTCTCACTATCCCTGACAAATTGAAACAATCATTGACCTTTGACCAGACATCGTGCTCAGAGGGACTAATTTAGGATAAATGGTTGGCCAAGCCATTCTCATCATCGATCCGGTCTCAGTACAGACGTCGTTCCTATTCTCAGGTCCAAACCTCAAATACAGTGTCACAGAGTCCATAATACAACCATAGAATCCACTCACTATCAATTCATTACTCTACATAACCTTAACGACTATACAATCACATACCTACTCTAAAATCCCAACCATGCCTTGAACACACAACCCATAACAAATGAAAAGCAACACAGCACTAGATACCATAATCATTGATCAGCATAAGAGCTCTCTGATCTCCTCATAATACCCATACTAGGTAAACAACTCCATAACATTATTCAATTCAGTTCTGACCCCATCAAAACACACAATTCGACTATCTCATGCCTGAGATCTCAAAACCAAAGTCAATCTTTCCCATTATTCCTAAACAGAATCCCACCTTCACATTCTCTAATGAAGACATTGCTCATATCAAATGCCTATAAAAAAATTCGAGTGTGTGACTCACATCACATCACCTAATCATCCTCAAACTTATAGTTTACAACACATCCCCTAGCCATCACTGATAGTATCAGACATTAGAAACACACAATCCCTATTAGACAACTCGTGCCTCACACACCACTAATCAAGTCCACTCTTAGAACAAGCACAACAAAAACCAAAGACTCCACCTCCTTTCGTGGGAGTGATTCGACCCATTCCACTAAACCTTTACCGGTGAACTTTAACAGTATAACAAACCACACACGGGTCCGCCCATCCGCGGATGCGCACAACTCCAAGATGGAGGACAAAACCAACTATAAATGACGTCCTTGTTAAGACTAGAACAAACAAAAAGGGTAATAAACCCTACTCTCATAACAGACTGATGACTCACACCTGAATGCACTTGACACCCTATCACACGCTGCTCACCAACCGTCCAACTGTGAACACCCAATCTCACATGAGAAGAACTGAACTCCATACACACAACAGAAGAACCAACTGGACACCCATACGAAACCACAAATACAAATCTAGGCGACCTCGCCACTAACGGACCTTCATACACTATCAACACTGGAACCTCACATAAGCTACACCACGATACCCATGCTAACCAAAACAAGTCAGATCAATATTACCCATTCATCGAATACTAGGGTACATCCCAAAAGATGACCATCAGATAAGAGCATCAAATCTCATGATATACCAACACTAGAAACAGTTATAACCCTTCGGACACCGCGTCCCATTCCATCTGACGTAACTCCCAAATGACAACCTCTATGTTATACGATGACATTAGATCACCCATTCCATCTCTACCTTTCTAGGTGACACTCCCTCGAACATTATGCACACAAGACCCGTGACCTCAGTCACAGTAACCCACTACTCATCAAAAGAAAAAGGTGCATATCTGGCAATATCATCCTCACTGGCTCTAAAAACTATGTCGTCCATAATCGCCTCAACTGGCAATCCCATCACTTACCTAACAACACGCAACAAATAACTTATACTCCCTAATCCACCCTCAGATCATACCTTAAACCATTCTTCTCATCAGTACTAAACATCACGTCATAACGTCTCTACTACCAGTCTTCCCAAAGGACAACTTGAACCTCTCATCTCACCAGATCACTAAGTCACTACCCAGCAATTCTTCTTATGACACCTTTATAACAAAAGAATAAGCATTACTCTCGATACCTCACACAACAGCCACTACTTATCACTAGAAAATAATCTCTATACGACAATACCATTCCGACAAATCCCAAAGGAAAAAAAAAATGAGCGCAAGAACCAGAATGCTCAACATCTAAATGTCTCCTCAAACCATCACTACACAATCAGTCATTAACACTTAATTGACTACTCAGACCATTCTTCCCAAGACAATCTACGTGCCTAAGTAAGATAACTTCACACCATTGGTTCAACATCATTACTTCTCCTCTTCACCATTCCTCAGAACACTCTTGACCCCAATAAAAGTCAAATGGGGCTACCAACTAGACCTATGGGATCACCCTCGTCCCAATCATTCCAATCATCAGTCTATCTCTTTGAATGCTTAAACAACAAGTAATACCTCCCGATACTCTAGACGCAATATGAAATACAACCCCAGTCCATAGATTCCAAATTCTAAAACATAGTCCATTTGGTACACAATACCCACCATCTATCACCTTATTTGTAATTGACCAACGCTTCAATGACCCCATACTACTTGCCTTATCGCACAACCCTGCACTACACACCTAAAACTGACCACAATACCTCACATCGAGGCTCTCTTGACAACCGTGACAACCTATAACCCCACTTATCTGCCGAGCTATACAATCAACTCACCGAGAGTCAATTACCCGTACAATCTTGTAGATATCCAAAATAGGAATCACTCATCGTTAAACCAGTCTCTAAAACAGACTCTAACAACCCACAAATTGAATCACATCAAATAGCTGATCACCCAATACGGGCATGACTTCAGTCAATGCTTACGTCACCCTGGACCTATATAGTCTAACAAGTCCCCCCCTTAACAACCATAACCAACACGTTTCCTTAGACCGTACCAGAATACTCGAAATACACGTTTACAACCAATAGACTACACTCGTGACTCTAGCATACGTATCACAAACCGGTTCAAAAAGAACCTCTGCACCAAACCGTAACCCAAGTCACAAACACTAACCCCCTAAGGTTATACCTTTCTCCCACAAAACCCTCACTCCGTACACCTGATCTTGCCTGTTACAAAACCCATGCACTAACACGGGAAACTCATATATCTCGCCCTGGACATCGCACTGTGCCATAGTAATCATTCGAAGGTCATA